ATCTCTGATGAAGGATCAATTGATAACCCCAAGTTACACAATAAACTTAGGACTCTCAAGTTCTATCAGAAGTTTTTTCTACTGTTTGTTTTTGTTCTCATAGACAACAGAAGTGGAATTAACTCAGAACATCCAAGTCTAACTCATGTTCTCCCAGTCCACATCCATTCCACAAAGGAGTCAATTAGTAAAATCAAGAGTGGCTAAATAAAGATGAACCCCAAAGCATTCCAACTTCCACCAAATAAATGCCTGTTGACTGAGTTAGAAAATTCCCAGAAAATGCCCATGGGAGTTCAGGCATTTCTCCTTGTTTTTATCAGTTGGACATAAGTTCTAGAGCTTCTTTGTTTTGTTTCTCCTGAAAATGACCAATTACGCCCTCAGGCCATGTGGAAGACATCCTAGGGACAGCTGGTATAAGCTATTAGAAGTTCAGGGAACACATTTCTGATCCAGTGTGCTAGGTACCAAGTAGCCTGACTCTCTAGGTCAATTAGTGCTATAGCATATGATATTTCCAATCTGTGGTCCTTAGCTTTGTGTTTCAACTTAATATAAAAGGTACTTTTATTAGAGTGGGAAAAAATATCCACTCCCATCAGTGTTATATTCTTGGACATAAGTCACAAAGTATAACTGGACATAAGTCCATAAAAGTCTTACAGAGATCAATATATCTATCATTGCTCCTTATGGTCCCTGTCCTTCTTTTGGGGACTCTGTAATAAATTTTCTTTGGAGAAGTTAACACTAGGGTCTGCCTGAGAATTTCACAATTTCTTCTTCTAGAATAAACACCTATATTTCTCACAACACTGTATGACCCTGGGAACAGTCTGAAAGTCCCAAATCTCTCCACTCTAAAGGTGAGCTACTCCCATGAACATATAATCATCCTCATAGATATGTGGAGAGTCCTCATAAGCATCTCACCAAAAACACTGTGTAGACATGAACTTGGAACATTACAAAAGCTTCATTCATTTTGAGACTCCTCATTTCTATGAAGAAATCAAAAGACACAAATCCCATTTTATACAATGAAAATTATGAACAATTGTTGCTTAATCTTCTGCAGTTACAGTGTTTTGTAAGAAAGTAGGTATTGTAGGAACATTACCAAGTGACTGCTATAAAAGAGACACGGAGAAAAGACAGAAAAATTAAGTTCCTGTAGTCACGTAAGTTGCTGTGTTCTTCATTGCTTAAAACAAAATCTAGTGGTTTCAAAACAATTTATTATTTTCACTATCACTGAGTCAACTGTATGATACTTCTGCTGATCTGGCATGGGCTCACTCATATTACACATATAGGGCAAAATTTTTCAAGACACAGTGTCTTGAAAAATTTTACCCTATATGCGTAATATGAAATGAATTACATTCTGCCATCATGTATAACAAATTAGAATAAATAAAATGAAATAAAGAGCTAAAGTATTTTTTCAGTGTTCTAAGCTCATACTACTCCAACATATCAGTGAATGAATGCTTACGTAGGACTCAAAAGTTTTTTGAAATTTAAAATGCACCATATGCCACAGCAAATGCTCACTATTAAATTCTTAAAGCTCTTCTGGAAGAAATAAAAATTCCTTTGAACATAAGGGCAAAAGTTTTTAAAAACACCAGGGCCAAGTAGTTCCCCCATCAGGAAGAAATGGATCATTCTGCCATTGATGTCACACAGTCATGCTTCTGAGGCACTATGCACTTCTAATCAATGCTAATGTGTTATCAAATAAAATGTCCAAAAATCTTAAAAGTTAGAAAAAGAACCACTATTTTCTGGTTTCTATTCCATATCTATACCAGCTTCTTTTTTCTATACTATTTCCATAAAGAAGACAAGAAGATTCCCAAAAGAATACATATATTAACAATCTGGACACCAGTCAACAGTATGAACAAAACAGCAAATATCACCAAAGAAAAGGTAAGGAGAAAAGAAATGCCTACTTTATTCCATTTTACAAGTTGCTACTATTTTTAAAATACTCTGAAAATTTGAAAAACAGTTGAGTAGGTAAAATAGTAATAATTGAACTTTTAAAGGCATTGGCTATACCTCTTGTGATTAGTTTTAGTATATATCTTTTCTTCCATCATTTTTTAAAAACATCAGTTCAAGTTCAAGTTTGTAAGTTGTGAAAATGAATGTGATTTGGAAAAATGTGTGTGTCTATGCAACTAGAGATGCCATCAAACTGTGATCATCAGGAAGGTCACTTTGGACTAAGAAGATTAGAATTACAGAAAAAGCTAGCACCCTTTATAATAAAAATGTCAGAGTAGCCCTCTGACGAATTATGCTGATGCCAAACAAGATGCTCCTCTGTGAATAGGTGGCAACATGCTTCAGAGCTTTTCCATCAGGGTAGTCAAATGTGGAACTTCACTCATGCACAGAAGATGTTTTTTGTTGTTGTTAAATTAGGACAACAATATCAATTGACAATAAAACAAACAAACAAACAAAAATTAGGCCAACAGCAGAGTTATTTTTAGGTTACTTATTTCAGTTTTTCTTCTTAGTGGGCTGGTATACAAAATAGAACAGAAAATGTACCACATGCTATAGCAAATGCTCAAATTCTTATAGCTCTTATGGAAATAGAAGATCTTTATCTTAAAATACAAGTTTTCCATTCAAATGAAATTAAAACCAAAAATATTCTGACATATTTATCAGTTAACTGAAAATAAAAATATCTACATATTATTATTAAAACACAACATTTTATCACTTTTGCTAAAAAAATGGGGGGTAACAAAAGAGCTAAAATGAGAATGAAGGCATTGGTTAACACTTGTAATTAAAAGTCAATATATAAAGAAAACAACATTTCTAATTCCACAGTGATGAATAGTTCTGAATTTCATAAAGGTACAATTTTTAGATGACTCATCTACTTGCTTTATCATAAAATCAATATAAACTCTCCCAAATGGTCTCAATATTATAAAGAGATAAACTTTCAAAATTTCCTTTTGGGGTAGGAGGGAAGGGGAAGGGGTAGGGGGTAGAAAACATGGTGGAATTAGATGGGCATCATTACCCTAAGTATATGTAAAGACATGAATGGGGTGAAGATACCTTGTATACAACAAGAGATATGAAATATTGTGCTTTATATGTGTAATATGAATTGTAATGCATTCCTCTGTCATATATAACAAATTATAACAAGAAATAAATTTAAGAAACAACTTCCTTTTTTATTTCCACATGCAACATTCTAATTAAATGACTGTGATTATATTTCAGAAAACTAAATTATGATTTTTATTTGTACTACTGGAACAAATTATAAAGATGAGACAGAATGCATGACATTAAGGATGTATATACACACACAACACATGATCTTGGAATAAAAAAATTGATTTATAAAAATAAAAAAGTGCTTAAATAAATTAATATTGAAAAAATACCATTATACAACAAAATATTCACTGTTTTTTGTGATGCCCTGCTTTTCCTGAAGGAAACAAAAATTGTGACAAATCCTTGGTGTCCAACTCACTAGGGCACAGTTGGCAATTAAGGTGAGGAATACAGAGTGTTTATTTCCTCAAATTAAAAAAAAACACACAAGGAAGTAAAATTTCAAAACTTTTGGTATTCTCTTGCACTTTATTAAATTCTAATATTGTATCACATGTTATATGTATAGGCATATTTTTCCCCTGAGGACAAGGTAGACCAATATCATTAGCTACAGTTCATCATTCTATGTAACCTAGATTTAGCAGATGAAAAGAAGCAACATGTAAAATATTTTTAACTTAGATACACATTAATACATACAAATTAATTTTCAAATAAATTGATCTACTGAGAAACTCTAATTTCCCAAGAAAAGTTTAACATAAAACCTCAACTTCTAAAATTCTGTGCAAAAGGTTAAATTAATTTTATGTTCTAACATTTGAAAATGCACTTTAGTATTCTGCATTGTTATAGAGTCCTAAATATACTTAATCTAAAATTCATCCTTCACAAATTAATTTGGTTTAACAGTGGGTAAGGACCATAATTTAGGTTGAATATTAGGCTAGATACAAAAATAGTTTCTTGAACTTTAAAGAAATCACAGAATCTTGCAAGAAAAAAAAAAGCATTAAGAAAAGGAAAAAGTTAAAACACTGGCTGCTTTTAGGGGAAAATGTCCTGGAACTGGAAAAAAAGGAATGAACATATTTGTACACATTCAGAAATTCAACACCCTTTGTGCTAGACATGGGGCTTGCTTCTGAACAGAATTTCCTTTCTAAATGGTAATTAACACTTTTCAAGTCAACTTATTTTAATGGGACCAAGTCTAAAGGTAACAAACAAAAAAAGAGGTTATATCATCAAAATTAGCATCACAGTGCTAATTTTTTATTAAAGATTCAATTATGTTCATACCTATTTTTTTCCTTTTTAGTCATGTAAAAAAAAGTGTGGCAAGTTGGGGCTGGGGTTGTGGCTCAGTGGCAGAGTGCATGCCTCGCACCTGAGGCACTGGTTCAATCCTCAGCACCACATAAAAATGAATAAACAAAATAAAGATATGCATCCGTCTATAACTAAAAAATATTTTTTAAAAAAGTGTGGCAAGTCTATGGAAAAAACTTAAAAGGAGCAAAATACACTGAAATTATTAGCAGTTTTATTTTTATCTTTCTCTAGTTTCTAAATTCACATTTAAATTACTTAGAACCCGTCTTTACTATCTACTTCAGAATTTTACTGAAGATTACCTCTAAGTATGTATGATGGAATCCCAAGCTTCTACAGTTAATGAACAGATATTCTGTAGGGCTAGATCAGACCTTGAAGAAAAATTCTTTACAGAATTTGTATATTGGCTTAAATTCATTCATTCCTCTCAGTTAAAATGAAGCCCTCCCCATGACACAATACCATATAACAATACCATATAAGAATAGTTATTATCCTCACACAGTAACCACTTTTTTTTTTTTTTTTTTTTTTTTTTGACAGAATAAGCTCTGTATTTTTTAATAAGGTTTAAAAGGAATCAAGTATCTAAGACCATTTTCAATTAGCCATCCAAAATTGGCTTCTCTCCCCCGATCCTGTATTTTAAAAAATAACTTTAACATAACATTTGGCATGAACTTACACTTGCTCATAATAAAAACCAAAAAAAAATTATGTGTCTGAAATTGATAAACATTACAAAATATTTAACATATGAGGAAGAGGTATATCTTACAGAATTATTTGGCTACGTCATAAGGCAATCAATGAAGACAGAATTTTTCCTATCATAAATTTGACATATGTGAAATTCTATAACATGATATTCTCCATAAATCTGAAAGCTCATTGGTTATAGCAATATGATCATGCCACGTTGTCACCATCACTGAACTTCGATGAAAATAGACTGAATGAGAAAGGAACAAATTTGGTGCCTGCACCAACGTAGAATTTGTTCTGAAATTCTACCCAGTGGAGGCGTATGGCATGAAGAAATGCAGAAAGCCCTTCCATGATCAAGAGGATGAAAATTGTCAAAACTGCAAAGAGAGCAATCACCGGGAGCAGCAGCAAGACGCCGTAGGTGGTGTCCACTCGCAGGCCTACTCGCATCAGCATGGCCCACAGGACATCAGACAGCTGTGCATGAGCCAAGCTGAGCGCCCAGAGCCGCAGGTAGGACGCAGTGTTGGAGATGCAGCCCAGACAATACTCAATGGAGTGGATCACTTGCGTCATCAGTATTTCTCCAAAATTAAACTCTTCACACATCATTTCTCTGCATCCATCTTCCATTTGGTTATTCCCCTCTTCTATGTCCTGGTTTCCCAGCAGAGAAACTTCTTCCTCGCTATCTTTCCTTACGAGCGTGTAACCACTCCGGCTCACACCAAAGCAACTCCGCCCATTGTGTAGCCACAACAAGAAAAGTGGTTTTCCCAAGAAGAGAACAGGAACAGACAGCGCTGTGACGACCAGCAGCACTTTCTGGACGTGCTCCTGCCCTGGGTAGAGGCCACTTGTTCCACTTGCTGGGAATATGAACATGTTGATGAACTCAATCAGAATGCTGGGAGCTTCCCTGGAATTTTCTGCTGAAAACACGAGCCACTTATAGACAATCATGAAGATGAGGTATCCGAAAATGCAGAGCATGAAAAGGAGCTCCGGGATGGAAACCAGGAAGATGTTGAACTTCTTCCTGAAGTGCAAGTGGTTAAATATTCCCAGAGTGACACCAAAAGTCATGTGAATAATTCCTAAAATCACAGACATTTTCATTTTGAAAGAATTTAGGAAAGTGAGGCGATTGGTTGCCAAGTTCCAAATTGGGTCAATCCCAAAAGGATAAGGGCCTCGGAACACTCCAGGAATGGCTGGGTCCAACTGCAACACCCTGCTGTGCCTCACGACGCTGTCGTTCCACAGCACCAGCTTCTCGTGCTCCTGCTGAGTGTGACTGGAGCTGTACATGGCAGACACGTTCCACCGAGAGCCAAAGATGTTGAGTGACTTGGAGAAGCAGTCGTTGTAGATGAGGCCTGTGTACACTGAGAACAGCCCCATGAGCAGGAGGATGTATCGGCCATTGAAAAACATCCTCAAGATCTCCTGTGACTGGTTCAGTCCGGGACGATTTTCATTTATCACCAATAAGAGGGCAAATAAGAACATCACAAAGCCGTGGCCAAGGTCTCCGAACATCACAGCAAACAAAAACGGGAATGTAATGATGGTGAAGAGAGCTGGATTCACTTCCCTGTAGCTCCCAACGCCATAAGCATCCACGATGTTCTGAAATCCCTCGGTGAATCTGTTGGTCCGGATTAGGGTTGGGGGTGTTTCTTTTGTGGGGATCGTGTTCATAAATGAGAGTATGGTAGCACCACTCTCTCTCGAGCCCTCCTCTAGCGCCCGGCGCAGGTCACGCAGATCAGCCTCAGGACACCAGACCTCAGCAATGAGGCACTTGTTGGTCACGTCGAAGCTGCACATGTTCAGCATGTGGTAAATGGCTTTCATCTTCTTCACCTGGATGACTCTGCTGTACACCGACTCCGCGGCTTTACACAGCACTTGCCTCAAATAATCCTCAGTTTTGTGAAGCACAGTGTAGAGATCCTGGATCCGAGTATTCAGCCCCTCCTGAATCTCCTTTCGCTCCTCAACAGTGTTTGGATAGGGGTAAATGTGGCAGTGGTAACAATCACATATCTTCTTGACCTTATGGCCAATCTGCTCTCCCCAGAAGGATATCAAGAACACGTACCATTTTATGACTTCTCCTGTTTCGGGGTCTTCCAGGGACTCATCCAGTTCTGCATAGGTCACGATGGTATACCCTTTGCAGACCCTCCATAGCATTTTTTCAAATGCATCAACTTTTCCTTGATGAATTAGGCCAGACACAAACCCCAGCTTTGCCCCCAGCCTCTGCATGCTGCTGTAGTCCAGCAAAGAGTCGTTCTCCAGAGACGGGAATTCCTCATAGGTGGGTTCAAACTCGACATTTCGCTTAACGAAGGTTTTAGTCACTCGCAGCATGTGAGTATACTCGATCAGTTCAAGCAGGTTCTTCCTCAGTTTCTCCTTGTTCTTGGTGACTTCTCTCAGTTCGACCTCAAGCTTCTGCAACTGCTCCTGCATTTCCAGAACCTGTTTTGGAGGGGGTGCAGGAGGACTGACCTCTCCCTCAGGCAGGGGTATATTAGCTCTAGTAATTTCCTGCACCAGATACACCAATATTCGTTCTAGTTCTTCACATCTCTTCACCTCACCAACAAATTTTCTTTGAAAAGAACTTACATTCTGGTTGAGCCAGCGCGCTGAGGCACTCGTAGGCCGTGCCCGACTGCAGGAAGAGCTGCGCCAGGCACATGGGCTCGCTCCGGAACAGGGACCCCATGGCGGGCGGCCCGCGCCCGGAGGGGCCCGGCGGGGCCCGGCGAAGGCGGCGGCTCCGGCCCCGCGGGCGCTCACGGTCAGCCGGGGCAGCCCGGGCCTCCAGCTTCTCCTGCGGCCTGGCCGCGGCCGGGGACCATGGGCTCAGTTGCAGCGGCCGCCCGCGTCCTGCCACCGCGGCCGCCGCTCCCAGTAACCACTTTTTAAGCATAAGTTTTTTATGGTAGGATCACTAGCATATGCTCCCAATACTAATAAGCTAAAGAATATATATTACTTGCCAAACCTTTCTTCCACAGAGCACATATCTCCTCATAAATTATTCTTTCCAGACAAAAGGGAAAGGGAATTGCACTTCTTTGACTAAATTATCCCATATATTTTCCTAGCACTGAAGAAGAGGGAAGACATGAGTGTAAAAGTGTCTTTAAAATGTTGTTCCTTAGTGCTTCCTTTCTGTCGGAAAGATGTAAGAAAGATTCTAATTTTTCAACCTAACTTCCCTAGTGTGAATGTTTAAAGTGGTGGACAGCACACATAGGATAGTGTTTTAATGACAACAGGGGAACTCTGTGAGGAGCTCACACCATAGAATAAAATGGTGTGGGCCATTTAGATAGAAAGGAGAAGATTGCAATTTCAGTAGAAACTGAAAATTAATTAGCCTTACTTATATATTAAAAAGAAGAAGATCACTTTACATCAGAGCCAGAAAAATTGGCATCCTAAATTTACAATGTAGCCAAGCTAAGAGTAAAATTCCCACCTTAGTTTCTTACAGGCCTCTGTAGAGGTCCTCAGAAGAGAATCTTGATAGAAATCACCAAAGATATGTACTTAAAAGATGTGAAATCATTCCATCCAAAGCCATTAATGGAAGGCAGCAAAAGTACTAACAGGAGTCAAAATGATATCAAGGAAGGAGGAATCTTACATTTATAATATGAAACTGTTTATAAAACATATTGCTCCAGGAAATATAATTTTATTGTAATGACTTGGCTATTAATCTAAAAATATCATATTGAAAAGCAAATTGAGATCTACAACTTTTGATAAAACATAAAAGAAAATGCTGCAAAGCTAAAACAAAATCTTAAAATGAAATGGGGTGATATCTAGTTTTGCCACATTTAATAGCTTCAGAGAACTTCATAAAAAAACACTTATACCTTCACTTGTAAATACCACAAACAAAATTAAAAACTAACTTTTAAGTTTCATGTTTCAAGTTTCCCAGGAGATACTGGTTCATGCAGAGACAACATTTGGCTTCTGAGCATATCCACAAAGTCAGATTTTCCGCCTAAGAATATTCCTGGATCAGTTGTTTGTAACACAACTGCCTAACCAAAGGGAGCAAGAAATGAGGAACATGATATATCTGCTTCAGGTAAAATGCATATTTCCCTTTACTTCCAGCTTGTCAGAATTTACAGGGTCAGATATGAAGATGCTCTTAGAAAAATGGGTTGCTCCATCCTAGAGTACCAACCAAGGCAGTCTAATTTTTAAAATGAAAAACATATAAAATGGGGACCCAACATGGCGGCCGGCGAGGAAGCAGCACTTTCAATACCTCCACAGTAACGGGATCAGAGAGAGCCATTAATACACCTGCATGCTACCTGCTGAGAAACCTCTAGCAAAATTCCGCTGAAAGGAGACCTGCCGGGAATTAGTAAGTCTATTGGAAGTATCAGTTTGTCTCGGCCACGAGGTGCAGAAGCCCAGTCCCGCTGGCAGCCGCCTAAAGGCCGCTGCCAGCCCGGCGGCGGCGAACGTTCAAACAGCCACTGCCTGCCCGGCTCTGTAAACCGCCCCCGGCGATTCGGCGCTGCAAACGACACTCCCTCCCCCCCCTTGGGTGAACAGCTCCCGACCCCTGGCTCTGCGAACAGCCCCACCCACCCCGCACTGTGAACAAGAGATAGAGATTATTAAAAAAAATCAAACAATTATTCTAGAAATGAAGGAAATGAAAAACCAAATTAAAAACTCAATTGAGAGTATCACTAACAGAATGGAGCAAGTAGAAGCCAGAACGTCAGATAATGAAGACAAAATATATCATCTTGAAAAGAGTCTAGCCAACTCAGAAAGGCTGGTAAAAAATCACGAGAAAAACATCCAAGAGATATGGGAAAATATAAAAAAAACAAACTTACGAGTCATCGGGATAGAGGAAGGTACAGAGATTCAAACCAAGGGAATGAGTAGCCTGCTGAATGAAATAATTACAGAAAACTTTCCAGAAATAAAAAAGGAAACGGATATACAAATTGTAGATGCATACAGGACACCGAGCACACAAAATCACAGTAGACCAAAGCCAAGACACATTGTTATGAAGATATCCAATATACAGAACAAAGAGAAAATATTAAAAGCTACAAGAGAAAGGAGGCAGATTACATTCAGGGGTAAACCAATAAGGTTAACAACAGATTTTACATCACAGACGCTGAAAGCGAGAAGATCCTGGAACAACGTATTTCAAACACTGAAAGAAAATGGTTGCCAACCAAGAATTCTGTATCCAGCAAAATTAAGCTTCAGGTACATCAACGAAATAAAAATCTTTCATGATAAACAAAAGCTAAAAAAATTTACAGCCAGAAAACCAGCATTGCAAAGCATCTTGAGCAAAACACTACACGAGGAAGAAATGAAAAACAATAACCAAAACCATCAGTGGGAAGTGCCTCTGTAAAGAAAGAGGGCGGGGGGAAAGCTAATCATGGAGAAACAAACTAATTTAAAAAAAAAAAAAGAAGAAGATAAATAATCAAACATGGCTGGAAGTACAAACCATATATCAATAGTAACTCTAAACGTTAATGGCTTAAACTCTCCAATGAACCGACATAGGCTGGTAACATGGATTAAAAAAACAAATCCAACAATATGCTGCCTCCAGGAGACACATCTGATTGGAAAAGACATACACAGGCTGAAGGTGAAAGGTTGGGAAAAAATATACCACGCACACGGTCCTCGTAAGAAAGCAGGGGAGGCCATCCAAATATCGAATAAAATCGACTTCAAGATTAAGTTAATCAAAAGGGATAAGGAAGGACATTATATACTGTTAAAAGGAACCATTCACCAACAAGACATAACAATTATCAATATTTATGCACCAAATAATGGTGCTGTGACGTTCATAAAACAAATTCTCCTCAAGTTCAAGAATCAAATAGACCACAACACAATAATCATGGGTGACTTCAACACACCTCTCTCACCATTGGACAGATCCTCCAAACAAAAGCTGAATAAAGAAACTATAGAACTCAATATCACAATCAATAACCTTGACTTAACTGACATATTTAGAATATATCAACCATCATCAAGTGGATATACTTTTTTCTCAAAAATAGACCACATATTATGCCATAGGGCAACCCTCAGTAAATATAAAGGGATGGAGATAATACCATGCATTTTATCTGATCATAATGGAATGAAACTGGAAATCAATGATAAAAGAAGGAAGGAAAAATCCTACATCACATGGAAAATGAACAATATGTTACTGAATGATCAATGGGTTACAGAAGACATAAAGGAAGAAATCAAAAAATTCTTAGAGATAAATGAAAATACAGACACAACATATCGGAATCTATGGGACACAATGAAAGCAGTTTTAAGAGGGAAATTCATCACCTGGAGGTCATTCCTCAAAAAAAGGAAAAACCAACAAATAAATGAGCTCACACTTCATCTCAAAGCCCTAGAAAAGGAAGAGCAAAACAACAGCAAATGCAGCAGAAGGCAAGAAATAATTAAAATCAGAGCGGAAATCAACAAAATTGAAACAAAAGAAACTATTGAAAAAATTAACAAAACTAAAAGTTGGTTCTTCGAAAAAATAAATAAGATCGACAGACCATTAGCCATGCTAATGAAGAGAAGAAGAGAGAGAACTCAAATTACTAACATACGGGATGAAAAAGGCAATATCACAACAGATGCTACAGAAATACAGAAGACAATTAGAAATTATTTTGAAAAACTATATTCCAATAAAATAGAAGATAGTGAAGACATCGATAAATTTCTTAAGTCATATGATTTGCCCAGACTGAGTCAGGAGGATACTCACAACTTAAACAGACCTATAACAATGGATGAAATAGAAGAAGCAATCAAAAGACTACCAACCAAGAAAAGCCTAGGACCAGATGGGTATACAGCGGAGTTTTACAAAACCTTTAAGGAAGAATTATTACCAATACTTTTCAAGTTATTTCAGGAAATAGAAAAAGATGGAGCTCTGCCAAATTCATTCTATGAGGCCAACATCACCCTGATTCCGAAACCAGACAAAGACACCTCAAAGAAAGAAAACTACAGACCAATATCTCTGATGAACCTAGATGCAAAAATCCTCAATAAAATTCTGGCAAATCAGATACAAAGGCACATCAAAAAAATTGTGCACCATGATCAAGTAGGATTCATACCTGGGATGCAAGGATGGTTCAATATACGGAAATCAATAAATGTTACACACCATATCAATAGACTTAAAGATAAGAACCATATGATCATCTTGATAGACGCAGAAAAAGCATTTGACAAAGTACAGCATCCCTTTATGTTCAAAACATTACAAAAACTACGGATAACAGGAACTTACCTCGACATAGTAAAAACTATATATGCTAAGCCTCAGGCTAGCATCATTCTCAATGGAGAAAAATTGAAGGCATTCCCTATAAAATCTGGAACAAGACAGGGATGCCCTCTATCACCACTTCTATTCAATATAGTTCTCGAAACACTGGCCAGAGCAATTAGACAGATGAAAGAAATTAAAGGTATAAAAATAGGAAAAGAAGAACTTAAATTATCACTATTTGCAGATGACATGATTCTATATCGAGCAGACCCAAAAGGGTCTACAAAAAAACTACTAGAACTAATAAATGAATTCAGCAAAATGGCAGGATATAAAATCAACACGCATAAATCAAAGGCATTTCTGTATATCAGTGACAAAACTTCTGAAATGGAAATGAGGAAAAACACTCCATTCACAA